TAGCAGACGAACATTGAACACCGTAGATAATGGCGAGAAGGACAGTTGAATCAAACAGTTCTTTCTTCGTCCGCATGAGCAATTCACTGTCGATTAATAATATTTTAATACGTTTACAGCTGATCCATTATATCACTGTTTCATACATTTGCAAAAAATTGCAAACTTTGTTAGAGACATATCGTGACATAGGTTTACAACTGATCGAAAATTCTTATTATTCTACAATTATTTGATGCATAGATATTGGAAAAATAATTTTTCCCAGTCAAGCGTCAGGGCTTTTGCTGACGGAGAGCTTTCAGCTGGTTCGGTGCTTATTCGAATTATAGGCTGCTCGATCTGAACAGCATGGCCGTTGATATCGTGTACGCTCGCATTACTAAATTTTGGCACTGTTCTTCAGTTGCTTGCATATGATCGACTCGCGGATCAGATCGGAACAGATCGTTTCTCGGTTGGGTGTATTAGCGCGAAGTGACGGCAGTTGTTTTTTAAAAGAAAGTAGCTATTTACAGTTATAATTCAGATCGCGCTTAGGAATCGAATCTCTTACTTCTGCCATAACCAAATGAAAGTACCGCAATAACAGGGTGTACAAAACTCTGACAAATCCATCGTGCAACCCTTTCGCATTTTTTTATTCTGTCCTCTGAACAGAGTAAGACATATGTATGGTATTACACATTTTGTTTAGTATTTTGCAACCTAACTCCGCCGCTGTCGGCCCAAAGTCCAGATGAGAAAGGAGGAGGGTTGGAGACCGTGGCGAAGTTTCCGTATAACCTCGCCACCTGCCACATATGGTATTGACCCTATCGAAAATTATGCCGCTCGTTCTTACCTCAGGTTAACAAGGGCCGCAAAAGCTCTCTAGGAACTGAGGCAGACTCCAGAAGGTCGACAATCACAACCTTCTCACTGTTTTCTGCCAGAAGGAGGTGCAGCAGCACAACGGCTAACGAAGATACCAGTCAGCAATGCAGTCGCTACCCGTTGTGAAAAGAAGAGACAGACAGCGCGATGCCATTATAGCAGGCCAAAAAAGGTTCCAAGAGAACGACAACACGAGTGGGAGCTTGCAGTCTTAAATTGGAATATATCCTCATTCAGAGGGAAAGAGCAAGAGTTACTTTATGAGGCCATAAAATACCAACTCGACACTGTGGTACTCTCGTCAACGAAGCACCGCGGCTCTGGAATCTTTAAACCTCAACGCGTGAAAGCTATCCTACTCATGTGCCGATATGACGACGCGCGCTCAGGCCGGTGTTGGTGGTCTGGTAGGACCCAACCTCGCAGATCGAATCATTGAATAGAAGCCTGTCAGCGGAAGGGTGGTAATCCTTTGACTGAAGCAACAGCAGGCTAAAGCGTTGACCTCGGCACAAGTCGGTGCGCCAATTTTGAGGGAGAATATGATTCCTTCGTTGAGGAAGTGGAGTATACCTGTACGAAGTGTCGAACACGGAGTCTCTCATACTTTTGGGCGATTTTAATGCGCATGTCAAAGTAGACGCTGAAAAGTGGTGCGGCGTGATTGGGAAAAACGGCCCTAGCGACCTCAATAATAACGGCTTGAAGTTGTTGCGGTTTTGTGCAAACAACGGACTATCCATTAGGAACACCTGCGAGCATCGAACACTGCCTTAGTATACCTGGTGCAGGGAAGTGTGCGCACAAAAGTCGATAACTGACTTCATAATCGTATTCTCTGACTCTCTGACGCTCTGTAAACGATGTTCGCATTAAGACAGGCGTAGAGCAATCAAACGATCACCACCTTGATGTTGGCATCCTGCGCTGTAATAAATAGGGAACCATACGAAGATCTGGAGGCAGAAGCAACCAGAGAATCAAATGGGAAACAATATTTTCGGGGGACATAAGAGCGACATTTGCGAATAACATTGTACGACGGCTTGAACAGATCTCGGTGATGACTACTGATGTGGAAACCGAGTAAAGGTCTTTTCAGAGTGGCATGCTTGAGGCTGCCGCCGAATTCTGCGGATTTAAACGGGTTAGCCTGCCATCTGGAGGACAGAAAAGATCTTCCTGGTGGATAGAGGAAGAGAAGAAAGCAGTCTTCTCCGGAGAAGAGAAGAAAGCAGCCATTCGCCGGCTCCAAGGTGAAAAGACGGGTAGTCTCACAGTCTTGAAGGACAGATCTGGACACCCTCTTACCAAGGATGATGACACTCTTCGAGGAACTCCTTAACCCCGCGCAATTGCAGGAAGACCCGCCTGTAGAGCAGAAGGGTACGGATATTACTATCTCCGTATATGAAATTACACAAGCTGTGAAAAGCTTGAAAAATGGAAAAGCTGTCGGAATTGACGAAATCCGCCCTGAGATGCTCAAAGCATTAGGCGATCAAGGCATGTGCTGGCTTACACGTGTCTGTGAAATTGCAATTACTAGGGGAGAAACACCAGCGTACTGGAGAACGGGAGTTGTTGTACCACTATTCAAGAAGGAAAACCACAGGGAGTATCGCAGTTATCGGGACATTGCGTCACTGAGCCTCCCAGGTAAAGTTTACGCAAAGACGCCAGAAAGGAGTTGCCGCGGAATAACTGACTTCAAGATACTGCGGTGTAGCTTCCGGCCCGGTCGAAGCACCTCAAACAATGCATTTGTCCTGTGCCAGATTGTTCAGAATTCGTGGGAGTTCGCCCATACGGTGTGCATGTGCTTTGTGGACCTACAAAAAACCTATGACCGGCTCCCGCGCATTAGTCTGTGGTCATGCCCGCGAACATACGGGATAGATGGCCAGCCGCCTCTGGCTATTCAATTTTCATTGTATACTAATGGTAGGTGCTGTGTCAGAGCAGATGGCGTTAAGTCAAAATCTTTCAACGTTGGCACTGGTCTCCGTCAAGGCTGCGTCCTGTCCCCTCTACTGTCTGTGTTGTACATGGATAGAATATTCTGGAATAGCCAAAGCGATGAGTGTATCGGTGTGGGAGATGTTCAGGCGAGAAGGTTGCTGTTCGCAGACGACCTTATTGTTTGGCATCTTCTGAAACTGATCTACAGTGCTTCATAGAAAAGTTCGCAGCCGAGTGCGACGTCATCGGCATGCGTATGAACGCATCTAAAACGAAAAGCATGCGCTTTCTGATTTTCCTGCCCATTTGCCTCCTCAGATTAACGGAGAGGCAGTGGAGCACGTTGAGAAGTTCAAGTACCACGGAGTCGTGTTTACTAGTGATGGAAAATCTGAGGAAAGCCCACGGATTTGAGTAAGTAGGGATGTTCTGCATGAATTACCCAGAACCGTTGTGACTAAGGTAGAGCTAAGTCTGAAGGCTATGCTGCCTGTGTTCAAGTTAATCTTTATTCTAATCGTCACCTACTGTCATGAGTCGTGGACCATGACTGAAAAGCTTCGACCTCGGGTACTGGCTGCTGAAATGGGTTTCCTTATTTGAGTCGCTGACCCTACGCGTCTCGACATGGTCCGGAACATTGACATCCAGGAGACCTTTGGTGTGCAGCCTCTGCTTCTTCAGATTGAGAGTCACAGCTGGGATGGTTCGGGCATGTGTTGCGAATGCCTCCAGAAAGGAAGGCTAAGCAACTGTTCCTTGCAAATCCGACCGGCAGAAGCCCAAGGGACGGTCAAGGCTAACCTGGTGTAATTGCATGTAAGGGAGCTGCTGCAGACTCCGGTTGTTTTTACCGAATCTCAGACTCTGGAACAGTGTCGGCAATGTTGGAAGGGGTGTCTGACGGGTCTACGTCCGCGACCGGAAAAAAGCAGTTCTCATAGAAGATGAAGAGCGGGATGAAGAAGAGTTTGCAACTTCAGATACAAAAACGAATTAACACCGACACATTTATTTATTGTCACCATTGTATGTTATTTCGTCTAGATGTTGCTCACGGTTTCAGTATTGTCGCTAAATGCCGAAATATTCAGGAATAACGAATGACTCCTTGAAGACCAGATTTAATGATGTATTGAACCGACCCCTTTTTCCTAATTGCTTATCAGACCATTTCAGCAGGTCGTAGCTCCAAGGAGTTAGACAACCTGTACTGCCAGATGCATCTCGCATCATTTTGACCCCTAGAACCACCTTGCGCTTACCATGAACGATGTTTCAGCAGCTGATACTCCTTATAAGCTATTGCGTAAGCATCATAGTGTTTGTACGCTCGAGTATACCAAATAACGAATGAGTCGTCCAAGACCAGATTTCACTATGTTTGTGCGATAGAATATAAGCAATGCGATGAGCACGAGGTGGAGTGGATAAAATGATGCGAGATTATCTGACACTCCAGATCGCCTACCTAAATGCCACCAAACATCTAGGAGCAAGGGGACAGTGCAATAAGCCGTGAAATATGGTCTTGGAGGAATAATTCGTTGTGACATACTTGGGCGTACGAACATCTCATGATGCTCATGGGATAGAATTCTTGAATATAATTTGTTGTCAACCGAAAACAGCAGATTGCCTTGTTCTGTCGGATTAAAGTGTGAAAGTTTCTAATAATAACGGAACATTTGGCAAGTTGTGAATGGTAATGAGTTGTCAGAGGACGTTTTTCTCGTGATAAAAAGTGGGATCAGCTCGTAACAAAAAGTATTCTCGTTTATTGACTGCTACCTTATCGGATGTGTATATCTCGAATCTGGGTTGACGTTTGGAAGTTTTTTCTGAAAAGTCATGTAGTCGTTGAACTTCATGAAAAACTTTTTCAGTCGATGTAACGAGAGATATGACTTGATCGAAGTGACTGCGGATTATGTGTTCAGAAATTTATGGTTCGTCTCTTCGTACCTTAACGAAAGGCAGTTGATGGCAGTGGCGAAAGCGCGTTGAATTCGCCCCGTGGAATACCAGAATTTCAGAATGCCTGAATACCAGTTGTCAGTCGCAGTATATGTTAGACGCTGAATTTCGTACCTCCAATTCAGTCGTAAGCGAAGCATGCATTTAAACTTTGATGCGCGTCAGCTTTGCCGCTTCGTGAACTAATGCGGCCGGAATGTGACAGAAAGTTGGACTCGTTGTAATTGCGTGTTTCTTTGGTTTCAGGGTCATATGAGGTTACTTCGCTAGCGCTGGTGCTGGCGCTGGCGCTGGCTGTCCCAAAAACCAACGATCGCGTCGTGGCTGCCGCTGCGACGATGACAGCAGTGTGGGGCAACACTTTTTCTGGAGGAAACTGTACCTGGTGCGATGCGATGAACAGTGGTTTGCATGCTCTGCATTCAGGGTCATGTGCTGGTGTTATTGTTGTTGTCGCTGTCGTCTAAAACCGAACAGACCTCGCGATCGAGGTCATCAAGTCTAAATCGTAGCAGCGTGTCATACAGTTGAACTCTTGTTCGTGCCACAGGTCGTTCCATGCCGTCTTGTAGCAACCGTCAGTCCGCACGCTGACGCTCTGTTGTGATGTTCACGATGCGCCAGGCATGTTTGCTTGCGTTGTCTTTCCTTCTCCTGCATCTTTTCTGCGACGCAGAAGGTAAATCATGTTTTAGCGTTTAATGTGTTTCTGAATGGTTGCCTGATGACGCGATCTCTTTCCTGGTTCGTTAAGATACCATTCGTCAGATCTAACTTCTCATAAACATCAGCATTCTATTTCTGAGGTTGTGGACATTATTCTGACGAACAGCTACTGACTATATATTAGAAATTTCGCTCTCTTTATTTCGAGAATGTATGTTGTAACCGCGTGCCTGGTTCATGAAAGAACTCTGCCGTAAGTCCGCTCTATTCCCAAATCAATTTTGCTCACAGCGTAGTCTTTCATCTGCATAACAGCTTTTCACTCAGTTACAAAACGAAAAGCCCTATGGCTTATTCATACTGTTGTGCACTGTTGATTTCGCACAAATATTTCCAAGAAAGGCCCATGCATATCGCTCAGAATGTTTCGTGGCTGCTTTTTAGCCAAAGCCTATGACATTGTGGACCTATTTCTGTTTTGTCAGAAAACAAATTTCATTCGAGCCGTAGATTAATTTTCGGCAACATCCAGCATGTTGATTATGAAAACATATCCGTTAGATATGAACTCCGTGTCCCAAAGTGAAATAGACAAAAAAGTAGATGATAGAGTCAAAAAGATGAAAGTAACTTCACCTAATGTTGGAATCTCTGGAGAAGTAGGACATCATTTTACATTTGGAAATTTCTGCAAAATATGTGACGCGCCCTTCAACAACGAGCTCTGCCGCATCGCCACTTAACGTCATTGTCTACATTCAGGTTAGCACAGCCGGTAGACCTGTAGTCAAAAGATCCTGGGCTGGAGTCACCGCAGGGTCACTCGTTTCTAGTTCTTCTGCATTAGCAGTTGAATGTCACAATGTGAGGAATTAAGAAGCTACCTGCCGTATTAACTGACTTGTTACACGTCCCGTCTTTCAAAAGCTATGACAACCTGGCCCACAGCGTCATAGCGAGTGCTCACATTGTAACTAAAACTCTAAGGAGGAACGGTACCACATTTGACGCCCCTCCTGGATTTTGGAAGTGAACAAGAGCACATCATTCTGCGGCTGCAAACATTTCGCTTTTGTTGCCATGCTTGCAAGTCTCCTTAGAACAGAAATAATGCGAAACCGCACGTTCTACGAGTGATTTCTTCCAGCGATGTACACTAACACTGATTTACTCATGTTCGTTACCAAAAGAGTCACTTTCGCTGCTTGAATCAAGTCAAATGAGTAGCATGAACACAGTATCTAAGGAGTCGACTGCCAACTCCGGAGGTGCCGAGTTTGATTCTGTACAATCTTT